GGGGGGGGGGGGGGGCAGGACAATCAGGCTGCTTTTGGCCTGTCCTGTCAATTTTGGAAATGCCCAGAACGGCTCCTCCCTCTGTACTTCATGCCCCATCTCTCTCTGAGTGCGAGCACGCGTGTGCATGTTGTGTATATCCTACAACCCCCCCCCCGCCCGTTATTTGGCTCTGTGCATCTGATGGCTCCCCAATGGGCCCATCCCACTTCCAAACCTCCAGAGGCGGTTCTAAGGCGCCTGGCAACTGCATGCTTACGCACCATTGTCTTTCGGACACAACCCAGGCACGCAAGACCGTGGCCGGAAGCAGACGCGCAAGCCGCAGGTGCCCCGGCAGTCCGACCGGCCCATCATGGGCATCCAGAGCAAGAAGAACTTCATCACGACCAACGTGGCGGGGGCCATCATGGCGGTGGCCAAGAAGCCCCTGCGCGCTTGTGTCGACCGGTGCAAGGGAGACACATTCCTCCTTGACCAGTCGGGGCTGGTCCAGAGGTTCCTCAAGAAGAAGGTGCGTTTCGCCTGCAGCCCCGCCAGCGAGGGCGCCCGCGAATGTCGGCTGCATCCGGCTGTGTCAAGCGCGGGAGACGGTCTCTGCGCAGCCGCTAGGAGGGGCGGGCAGAGGGGCGAGAAGCTGTGAAGGGGTTGCGTGGGATCCGTTCTTCGCCTGCTGGCGGGTTAGCCAGCGAAGCCTCCGATTCGGTACAGAAAGTTTATTCTGTTGAGAATTAAGTTCCCCTCCCGTTGCAACTGCCCCCCAAGGCAGGAGGGGCCCAGGTGCCACCCTTGGCACGCCTTTCCCTTCTGCCGCCTGGCTCTCACTGGGCCTTGGACAGGGCAGGCAATTTGCCCACCTCCTGCTGCTTCTGAATGCATCGATGGGAGGGGTTACTTGTTTATTTTTTATGCATTCATTTGTTTGATTTATACCCCATGTTTTGTCCAGGAGCCCGAGATGGGACTTACTTATTTATCCCATTAGCACATCGCCACCTTTGCCACGGATCCCAGCAGGTGGCCTTATACAAATGTGTGAAACATCACCCCCCCCCCCCGAGATTGGAGTCCCTGTTGGCCTTGAACACCTGGTCTTGTGGCCGAGCCTGGGGCCCCGGCTGCGTGACAGAGGCCATCCCCCGGCTAGGATGGCCGTCGTTGCAGGACGCCCGGCTGCTGTGCGTTTTATTTTTACAGTCTGTATTTTACCTATTTGTTGTAAACCGCCCAGCGTCCCGTATGTGAAATGGGTGGCCGTATGAATCGAATCGAATAAATAAGTAAAATACGTAACCCAAAGTTAAAACCACCACAGGAGAAAAATGCAATTCGTTAAAGTAGATACAGAATTAAAATTCAAATTGTATTGGGCTGATGGAAAAGTAACAACCACAGATCGCGTCACCTGCAGAGTGCAGCTTCCTCCTATTTCCTCCCACAACAACAGCCCTGTGAGGCAGGTGAAGCCGAGAGGGAGGACCCGGCCCAAAGTCGCCCCAGGAGCATCCGGGGCTGAGAGGGGGCTTCCGCCTGGGCCTCCCCTCTCCTAGTCCAGCACCTTCCCTGCCACGCCACCCTGGCGGTGCCCCCGCAAACGTCTTCTGTGGGTTCAGTGTGGGGTAGGGCGCCCCTGCAGAGCTCCTGGCCATTTGAGGGGTGAAAGGTGTGCCCCCGTCCCCCCATTGACAAAAGGAGCCCACGTCCCCTGGACAAACGCAGGGCTCCATCCTCACTCCCAGGCGACACCCTTCCTCCCCACGGAAGGAAGCCTGCTCTGAAAGGGAGGGGGCCATGTGCACCTCTGCCCCCCAGGGTATTTACGGCATCACGCCTCCTTCTTTGCAGGACTTTGGGGTTACCCCGAAATACCTCAAAAAGCGGAAGAAGGAAGCCAGGCAGGTGCAGAAACTGAGCGTGTCTGGCCAGCAGGACGGCCTCCAGCAGAAGGGCCTGACTCGCCTGGCCACCCGGGACCGGGAGAACGTCTTGGCGGTAAGCAGCCGACGCCACCGGGCGCCGAGCCCAGCGGGCCTCGTGGGTCAAGCCAGGGCCAAGCAAGACTCGCTTTCTCCAGAGGACCTGCGGGCACGTTGGGTGCTGGGTTCAACCAGTCGCTCGCTAAGCATTCAGACCGTTCAGTGAAATGCATCAAGGGCACCAGGTTGGGGAAGGGGATGTAAGCACCAACAGACCTTTTTTGTACCGTTAAAGCCTACATCTTTATGCCTCTCACTTATTAAAAAAAAATGAATTGGCTAGTATGCCTTCTGTCAACTATTCCTCTCCTACGCTGCGGAACAGAACAGAAAACGTATCAGACTAATGCAGGACGTGCATTTCATGTAATTCATGCAGGGTCTCAAGGAAAATTGGGAAGAAATCAACAAAGAATTCCAAAGTCTTTCTGTAGTGATAGATACGGTTCCCAAGAAACTTCGCAAAGAGAAACTGGAGACGGAGATGAAGCAGCTGGAGCACGATATCAGCACTCTTGAGAAGCACAAGTTTGTCTACATTGCAAGTGCCTAGGGAAGGGCCAGGGCCGGGCGAAAGGAGCCCTTCCGGGGCCCACTGGGGCCGGCGGAAGGGGCCAGCTCTGCTCCTGGGTCTTCCGCCGACCGCAGTGACCTTGAAAGGGCTCAGCTCCCAGCGGACGGCCCGTCCGGTTCTGCTCCTTCCCGTTGATCTACGTCCATTCCCTGCAGCCGGGCTGGGGACGCCGTTGCCCGGCAGACACGGCTGGGCGCCGATGGGCCTGAGTCAGCTGGGGAGCGGCAGCCCTTCTGTTCACCCTCAGGGGAAAGAGTAATTTCTAAGAAGTTGCCATAGTTTTAAGAAGCCTTTGCGAAAGTTGTATAATGGATCTTCTTTTATTATTAAATAAAGCTCATTATTTACCAGCTGTTACCTGTGTGTGTGCGTGTGCACATACCGAGCCTTTGGGAGTGGGACAGCTGTAATGAGTCATCGCAGAGTCGTCGTCGTCGTCGTCGTCATGAAACAGAGCACAGCCTCTGCAAATGGCCTGTCTCCAACTGCGGGGCCACCGTTCCTGGGCTGCACAAATCCAGACGGCCAGGAGAGGGGAGCAAGGAGCAACTCTTTGCTGACATCGCGTGTTGGCCAGAGTTGGCGGGGGGGGCGGGCTCCCCACGACAGGCCCTGCCCCCGTCGGTCAG